CTCTGTGTGCTTCAGGCAAGCAAAAATGGATGTTACAGGGGGGTTCCTGTCTGGCTACACTCTCTCAAAGAAGGAAAAGTTATTTATTTGTTCTCATAACGTAAGAACTAGGGGTCACCAAATGAAATTAATATGTAGCAGGTTTAAAACAAACAAAAGGAAGTTTTTCTTTACACAGCGCATGGTTAGCCTGTGGAACTCCTTGCCAGAGGAGGCTGTGAAGACCAGGACTTTAACAGAGTTCAAGAAAGAATTAGATAAATTCTAGGTTAGGTCCATCAATGGTCATTAGCTTGGATGGGTAGGAATGGTGTCCCTAGCCTCTGTCAGAGGCTGGGAATGGGTGACAGGAGAGGGATTGTTTGAAGATTCCCTGTCCTGCTCACTCTCTGGGGCATCTGACATTGGCCACTGTTGGAAGACAGGATACTGGGCTAGATGGACCTTTGGTCTGACCCAGTGTGGCCGTATTTATGTTCATGGCTGAAGATGTGAGGGAGATACCCAAACCTGAATCTTTTTGGGGGGGATAGGGGGGAGGAGGGGAGGTAGGAAGGGTGACAAATCTGAGAAACTGTCCCAGACTAAGATTTCATTAGATGTCATTTTGGAACAAAAAGATAAACTAAACAGTAATAAGTCACCAGGACCAGATGGTATTCACACAGGAGTTCTGAAAGAAGTGGTCTAAATTAGCTGTTAGCACTCAAGAGCCAGATCTTGGAGTCATTATAGATAGCTTGCTGAAAACATCCACTCAATATGCAGCGGCAGTCAAAAAATTGAACAGAATGTTGAGAATCACTGAGAAAGGGATAAATAATGACATAAAATATATTACTTCTATATAAATATGTACTATGTCCCCATCTTGAATACTGCTTGCAGATGTGGCACATTGTCTCAAAAGATATATGAAAGATATGATTATGCAATTGATTATCTGTATTTAGTTTAGTTAATTCACTGTTTATATTTAAAACAAAATCAGGCCACACATTCACTGGGAGAGGAAATACGCTCTTCTTCATTTTCCCTAATATGTATGCCAGGCAACATAAACTAAGACCTCACAATCATCTGGTAAAGAATGTAAGAAGAGACCTAGTATAATCAAATTGATTAATGTCCTCTATGCACACAAATTAGTCGATTTTAGAATTTCTTAAATTAAATTAGTTAGCCTTGCTTCTTTGTCCAGGATGAATACGGTGCAAAAAGTGCATAACATGAATAGTAAAATATAAATTAGATTTTTAAAATTCAGTTTTAATCACCTACATTGATAATAGTAAGGAAATGTTTCTTTAACTGTGAATCAACCTCTCTCATGGGTTGGCTGGCTTCCCACATTAATATATTGTTCAGGAAATTAAGACTTAGGGAACTGTCCAGATTCAACTGTAGTTTATCAGTTTCACATCTCTCTCACCCTAGTAGCGAGAGAATGTCTGGGTTGAAAAAACCAATATTGGGTGCGTCTACACAGCAACATTATTTCAGATGAAACGGCTGTTATTCCAAAACAACAATGCGAGTATCTACACAGCAATTCCGTTATTTCCAAATAAATTCAAAATAACGGATGGCTTATTCCAACTTCTGTATACCTCATTCCATGAGAAACGACGCCTATTCTGAAATAGCTATTTCACAATAGCAGTAGCATGGACGCTCCACTACTATTTCAAAATAGCTCCTTCTCAGGACCATTCAAAGTAATTATTCCCCAGTGCCTCCTGGGGCTCTAAATCTAGATTGTACGTACACATCAGGGGAGTCTGCCTCAGAATACTTTTGAGGCTTCCCTGTAGTGTAGACGTGCTCTTTCATAATAAGCTATTTCAGAGTATTTCTTCCAGAATAGCTTATTTCAAAATAAGTGTTCAGTATAGACGTATCCAAAACAAAATCGTTTAAAAACTTAAATTCTACCATAAGTGCTTATTGTTCCAAGGCTTAAACTTGGGGCCTAAACTGACCTGACACTATTATATAAAAGATACAGATGACTCAAGATGATAATATAAGTTTAAGTGATTGACAATATATTTTCCAGTGACTTACAGATAAAGAATGACTCACAGGAACATTTTGTTTTCAGGCATATCAGGCTGGTGAATTATGTAGTTCTTTTGTTCTTTCCCTTAGATATGCTACGGGGACTCTATGGACTAAGGATGTTAAATTGCAGTTATCTGGCTAATCGCGTAGTCGATACAATTTGCAACAACCACACAATTAGTCAATAAGGGGCCACTCTGCAGAGCTGAGCAGTCCTGGCTCCACACTGCAGCTCTGCATTTTAAATGTAGTAAGAGCCATAGGGAAGCCTTTGTCGACTGCTCCGGTAAACCTCATTTCACGAGGCATACCGGAACGTCAACAAAGGCTTCCCTTGTTGACCGCGGCGCGTTCAGACTGCCCCGCTGTGCCACCAAATAGCTGATCAGCACAGCGTGGTGGCCATTTTGATGTAAATGAAGCAGTGATTATTTTCCGCTTCATTTTCCTTTGTCTAGTACACTCATCTACATGGCTCCGTCGATGGAGCCATGTAGTCTAAACATACCCGTACTGCTGCCACCAAGCAGCCTGTTCAGGGCTGCTAGACTAGCCCCTGCACATTGGCAGTCCTGGCGCCACAAATGGGCTGCTGGACTTAGCGTGAGCCAGGACCGAGTAGTCCGGGCATGCGCTGGTCCAGGACACTGCACCTCTGCATTTTAAATGTAAAAATTCATTTTCCTATGCCTAGTAAACTCATCTACATGGCTCTGTCAACGGAACTACGTAGTCTAGACATACCCTACCTGTCCATGCCAGGGGATGGGGAACCCAGCTCCCTTCTGGGACTACTGCTGACAGAGCAGCCTTCCCTATCCCCCGATACCTCTAATAAACACAGCTGGGGAGGGGGGCAGGTGGCACCACGGAGGCAGTGTTGGGGGAACCAACTTAAGCTGGCTCCCCCCAGCACCAGCTCTTCCCCACCCCCCCGCCATTGCTGCTTCTCATACAGAGACAGCAATGGGGGGAGGCAAGTAGTTGAGTACTCTGCTCGACTACTCTCTAATATCCCTACTTTAGACCATGGGGTTACTTTTGTTTTGTGTAGGTTCGCAACCTCATTTTATTTAGGTGTTTATTAGTGTTGGTTTAAAGAGAGATTCTATTATTTAGAGAGTACCGTCCTTAGCTTTTAAGATGCAGTAATTGAAGTTTTAGAAAAGTATTTTTTTCTTATGTATAAAACCTAGCAATACGCAATAAAACTGAATATAATATATATTTAGGAATATAGTTATTTCTCACCCCAGCATGGATCAACCACCATTATGTAGCGGCATTGTGTGTCAAACATCCAGCTCCCATCCAGAACACACCACACGATCCATCGTCTATAGCCAAGCCCTTCGATACAACCGCATCTGCTCTAACCCCACTGACAGAGACCAGAAGCTTCAGGATCTCTACCAAGCATTTATAAATACTGTAACTAGGTTATATAGATATACCTCCTCCTCCTCCCCCCCCCAAAAAAGCAGTGTGACTTGGATGAGCTCTATACTTCTCTAAGTTTGAAACAAATAGAAAACTCTCCACTGTTTGTTAAAACAAGTTTATTGTATTCACAAAAGGCAATGCAAACATACTGTAGGCAAAAGGCCAGTTGGTTACTACCTCCAGTGGAACAAAACTACTATTAACACAGCAAATTCCCCGAAGACAGTATTTTCTATAAATGGCAGTCCCCTCTCCACTCAACAATCTTTTACTTTAGATAAGCATTTAAACTTTTCAGTTTAAATCTAGACAAACAGAAGCAATGGGTGCCTAACCTGAAATAGGAGTTCACAGAATGCATTCAATCACACTGCACTATGGGAGCAGCTCTCCAGGCGGAGGGAAGTTGTCACTGTTCCACTTCAACAGTGCTATGAAAATTTACACCAACCAAGAATCTGCCTGTATTTATTTATTCTTCTTCCCTTGATCTAGTCAATCTTTACTAAAAAGATTAAAATAATTTGAGTTTTGTGTATAATTTATCTATTGTACGTGTAGAAAATGCCCTAATAAGAGACTCACTAAATTTTAAGGAACCAATGCTGTTCATATTTAATATTGTGATGTATTATTTCTTAGAAAATATGCATATATGTAAATAGATAAAAAGGCTCTTATAGGAAAACAGTTAAAATAATAAAATAGAGCTGAATTTATAGCCATATTAGCTTTCATTGAGTTGTACTACTCCAGAATGTTGTACTTCAGCAGCTATAAAAATGAAAATCCACTCATTGAAACAAAATGAACACAGAACATGTTTAAGCTTTAACAATTACATTAATTGCCAATTTTATTTTGGAATACTAGAATTTCTAAAAACAAAGATTAAATAGACAAGGTGCTTATCAACTTGAAGATACTTGAAATTTTAAAATCCTTTAAAACATTCTTTGCATGGTGATACTACAGATAAATGATGTCCTCACATTGTTCAAGTGAAGTGACATTTTTATGGGTGTTTAGCAGGTAACAAACGACTCAAAAAAGAATAAAGTTTACACCGTCTGTCTTTGACACTAATGAAACAAAGTTAAATATAATAATAAAATTCTCATTTTTAAAGTTGAAGAAATGCCTATTTTAACAATTAAGTGTTTATATGAAATAGCAGAAGTTATTATTTACTCCCAATGTAAGACAGCAGGTATAAACCTAATGTAGAAATCTGAAGTTAAACAGTTCCTCTGGCAGCATATTTAGTTACAATCGGGCCTTAAAAATAAATATAAAGGTATAGAAGAATGAAGAGAGAAAACTGATCCCATTAACAACAAACCCCTCTGAATACAGAGTTTTAATAACAAATACTTTACATTATCTACAACTTTCATAAATGTCTATGATTTGGATCACAAGAGATTATAGGATGCCAAATCCTGCAGTATGAAGTGGCAGGGGGGTTTGTTTTGAAGAGTAATAGAGAGGGGGTGTGTGTGTGTGTGTGTGTGTGTGTGTGTGTGTGTATATATTTATTTATTTATTTGTGTATAAAATCTCAGACAAATGGGTATGTACACACTATTTATATTTCATATATTATAAGATCAGAATTTAATCAAACACATTAATCTAACTTCACACCAACTCTGTTCATCCCAAATTAAGAAAATGGAAAATATTTATACCATCTCAAAGACTTTTTTATTGGATTCACTTTCCTTATATTTCAATGAAAAACATGAAGAACCTACATAAATGTTAATGGGGGGTAATTTGATTAAATATTTGGAACAAATTAAGTCCTTACATACAAATTTTCAAATAGTAAGAATTTTAAACAGCAGCTTTTGTAATGTTTTTTCGTGATTCTTCCTCCTCTCCCATCCCCGCCAAAGAACACATGGAATACATTATCTCAATGCTTCCAAGGTGTCATATTAAAGCATTTTACATTGATACTGAACATCTTCACCTGGAAGGATAATGCCAAATTAAAACACTGGAGAGGAAAGACTATAGCTCCAGTTACAGAAACTTGAGTATAAAATAACCAGGCACTGAATACCTTATTGTTCCAATATGAAGCCATGTTTGAACGAGATCACACTAAATAATGTATTTAGTAACAGTAAGAAAAATGGAGGTGGCGCTGAACAAATGGTGAGTTTTAGTTGGGGAAAAAACACAAGGAAGATGTACAATGTAACAAGGTCGTAACTGGTAGAAAACAAAATACACCATAACATTCATTTGTGGACATGCTTTCAGATTTCCATGCATTTAATGAATTTTATTTATCAAAGTTATTTATATCCATTATTCTTCCCAGTCTACATGTCAGCCATCATAACAAAGTTAAAAATATGCATAAATATAATATTAAGAAGCCAAGTAGGTAAGCTGGGAGGAGAATGATGTGCAACTTTCCAGAAGTTAAGCAATCAAAGGAAAAAATCCCATATTCTTGGACGATAATTCTGCTCTTGCAGTTCATCTACTCCTTTAGAGAAACAACCCATAAAATTCAAGTGTCAGGAAAAGCCTCCAGATCCTGTTTCTTTTGCAGTGAATGCTGCAGCTCCTCATGCATAATGTGATTCTTTTAAAGGCATGCTTGTCATTTTCGGTGTCATCTATTTTTTATGGCCAAAATGGAGGGGGGAAAAAAGAGTCCCACTAACAAGAAATCTTTGCTTTGCATCCACAGTGGCATAAGTATACATTCTCAAATGTATTCTAGACAAGTAAATAGTGAGAGGAAACCCTAAAGACAACAAGAACTCAATGATCCATACAAGTAATTTGTGCTCCTGGAACTCACCTCCACCATTTTGAGAGCAAACAAGGCAGACTCCTGCACTCCTGAACCTCTCCTACCCTTAAACAGCACACAGACAGACTTCACAAATTTCCAGTTAAGTAATTTGCAACCTCAGAACACTCCCAATTATTTGCTGCATCCCTACCCACCTTTGGAACTAAAAAATGCTGGAAGCACCACCCCTTTTGGAGAAGGAGCAAGAGAGCTCCAACATCCCAAACGAATTCCTTGTAAAGGAAAGAGAAGACCCCTTGGGTACTCCAAATCAAGTCTAGTAATAACGTACAAAATCTTTAATTTTCATATTGTATTTACATGGTCCCCATTACCATAATGTCAAGGAACATTTTGTCCCCAACTTCAGACTTCCTTTATCATACAATTCTTCTATTATGTAATGCATCTGACAAAGTGGAACTGTTTATGATGCAACAAACAGAATTATATTTTTCTAAACTGGTGGGATATGTTGGACAAACTAGTATTGTAGTGAAAAGATTCTCTGAAACAATGGAAGAGACTTCAAAAAGAACAGATAAAGCACTATCATTAGATTTTAAAGCACCTTCTCAAGTTTCCAGAACATTAAAAGGAAAAGATTCTCTTATTTAAGTTTAGATTTGAGAACGATACTTAATGAGATTGAAAGTTTTAGTTAATGGAGGCTACGTAAGTGGGGACTGACATTATTTATGATTTTTTTTAATAGCTCAAACTGTCTTTAGAAAAATTCTAAACTGTCAAACTTGAAAATTTAACTCTGAAATAACTGCTTAGCATTATAACGTAGCAAATTAGATTATTTTAATCAAGGGAAAGTATACTTGTATACCAATTACAGGCTATTTAAATCATGAGGATCACCAACATTTATGAATGCTTTGGGGACTATGAGCCTAGTTTATTTTCAAAGGAGAGGCTGTGGATGGTAATTTGTTGGTTGCTGTGGAACTGAATGAGGTGGAACTGCCACAGGATAGCCTGCTCCTTGAGGCAAACTAGATGTAGAGTTCTGGTAAGCTGACATATCCACAGACATTCCCATATGTTGCGTGTAAGTAGCTGTATTGGTAGATGACTGAAGGCCAGAGTTCTGGTTCATGTACGCAGAGTTTGACACAGCATCTGGTCCAGGGCTGCAACAGAAAAAAAAAATCATCTAATTTTAGAACAGGGACAGTTACAATTACCAAATTTGTTTCCTTATTTACATATATATTTTAATTTAGAGTGTGTCTGTCTGAGTAGGTCTGTGAGTCAGTTTGTTCAAGAACTCCTCCTAAATTGGACGAGCTAGGACCACCACATTTGGAATGCAGCTTCCTCTTAACCTAACTTAAACCAAGGTCAGGGTTTGGTGGTCCCTGGAAAACAGGAAGAGTGCTGGGAATGAGACTAGGGATGTTAAGGACTAGTTGACTAGTCTACTATCCGATAAGCAAATGCTTATTGGATAGTCAGTAGACTAGTTAATTCCCCTCCTTGCTGCCTCTATCACATAGAGGCAGCAAAGGGGGGAAAAGAGAGGGTACTTAAAAGTGGCAGCGCCTCACAGCTAAGCCCAGGATCAGCTGTGTGGCGCTGCTGCTTTGAAACGCCGAGTCCCCAGCTGACCCCAGGTTCCGGGGAAATGCAGCGTGGAACCCACAATCAGCTGGGGGGAAGCTTCAGCACAAAGAATGGCCACAGGCCTGGGGCTCCACCATCTTGCTTGCCACCAGACCAGGTAAGTAGCCCTCTGCCCCAAATCTGTCCCTCCCTGGAGAGCCTGCAGACCACAGGGGGGCAGCCTCAAGAGCCTGGCCCCTCCAATAGCATGCAGGCTGCAGGGGAAAGGGTGGGAAGCAGGAGTCTGGGAGTAGTCCGCAGAGCGCTGTGCCCTCCCCCCACAACAGATTGCAGGACCGGGGGGTGCAGGAAACTGCTCCGAGCAAAGACCCCTGGAGCAGCTGCAGGCCAGGGGGACAGCAGCAGGTTGCAGGCTGCTCCCTCCTTCCCCCGCCAGACAAGCTGCAGGCTAAAGGGGCAGTAGCAGGCCAGGGGCTGCCCTCCCAGACAGGCTGCAGGCCAAAGAGGCAGCAGCAGCAGGCATGGGGCTACCCCGACCCCTGACAGGCTACAGGCCTGGGAGAGGCAGCTGGAGCTGCCCCAACCCTCACCCGACATGCAAGCAGACATGGACTCCCCCCTCCCAGGAGAAGCCACCCTCCAGGGAGTGCAGTCCCGACCCTTCTGGAGGAGCTGCTAGCCAGGGAGCACTGCCATGGCTCCCTGGGAGGAGCTGCTGCCTGAGCAGTGCCACCCACGCCACCACAGGCAACCCTGGTAAGCTCCCCCACCACCTCCCAGCCCCCTATCCTGAGCCCTGCACCTTCCTCTGCCTTGACGTCTGCACCCCACCTCCTTCCTGCTGCCCTCTACCCTCTGCTTGACTCCTGCCACACCTCCCAACCCCCTACTAAGGATGTTAAATATCGACTAACTGACTAATCAAATAGTTGATGCAAAAATGTGATTAGTCAATAGTGCAATTCTGCCTTTGAAATGTAGCAATAGCCCCAAGGCCGTTGCTACACTTCAAAGGGAAAGTGCTGCCTGGATCCTAGTCAGCTGGGGACTCCAGCTGATCCTGGGCTCCACACAGCACTGCTGCTCTGAAACGCTGTGGGGAGTCTAGGGACATCCCAGCTGGCCCCAGGCTGCATGTGGCATTTCAAAGTGGCAGCGCCGCATGGAGCTGGAGGTCTGGCCCCAGGTTTCAAGTGGTGCTGTTGCTTCGATGTACCCTCTTCACTCCTCTCTTCCCCCTGCCTGCTGCCCCTTTTTGATAGAGGCAGCAAAGGGAGGGAAGCAACTAGTCACCTAGCATGTTGACTATCCGAAAACCAGTTTCTTATTGGCTAGTCCACTAGTCCTTCACATCCCTACCCTCTACCATAAGCCATTTATCCCTACCTCTCCTTACTCCTGCACCCTCACTCCAGCCTTACTTTTCCTTCGTTTTTAAAAAAATGCAATCATTGAAATAAATCGTGCATATTTTTTATTTATTTTTAAAAAATTACTTCAGTTAAAGTTGCGAGCAGCACCAAGTACATCTGCTAGTAATACTATAAGCCAATGCAAAAATGATTTGATTTTGCTTATTTCTGAACAGAAGTAGAACACAAAAAAAATCAGTGACCTTTAACATTCATGAATGAACAATTTACACATCTCTAGACTTTTAGTGGTTACTAATCTAGGGGAAAACACATTTTACATTAAAGCCTTGCTGAAGTGTTACCTTAAATATGAAGGCTGAGCAGACTGAGTTGCTCCTGAAGAATTTATAGTTTGAGGCAGGGACCTTAGCTGGCCCATTTGATCAGGTCCTAGACTATAGCCTTGGGGAAGTGTGACTTGGTGCATACCCTGGATCATGTAATTTCCACCTTGTGGCTGTACAGAATACGGCTGTAAATGAAACAGAATATACACCATGCATCAATTTGGCTGAATTGAACAATAATATATATAGTCCAAAAATATAATGCTCAGATTCTGTGACACATTTAGAGCCCCATGAAGCAGGAATGTGACACTAAAATCTGAAGAATAGGACTGCTCAGGAAATCCACTTTTATGATTGCTTCAAAGAACAAAACACCCCCTCCGCTGCATATCTCTATGGGTGGGTGGGGATTTAACAGAAGATAGTCGGTATCCATGCATCGGAAACTTTGTTAGAGAAAGATCTGCTGATGTTCATTTGAAGACATTTCTAGATGCAGTAAGATATGCAGCTCCCTTAGGTGATAAATACACTGCCTACATTCACTCTGCCTCTCTTGACAGCTTCATTTTTTTTTTTAACTATTCCATCCTTAATTTGCACTGTTGCTATTTCAAATCATAGTACAGGCAAATATTCTCAGCAAGAGGATTGGGTGGTGATTGTTAACCTGTACCTCCCTTGTCTATACACTCTAAGAGAGTTTAGAAGTTAGTACATTTAATAAAAAAGGTGATAAATAAACAAGGTATACAACAGGAGAAAAGTTAATCTTGCTATAAAAACCTTACTTTCTGCATTTCTTGACTTACATAACACTAAGGAGGCACTATTCATATGTGATGAAGGAGAAAGAAGCCAAGAGATCCTTTATCAGGTATTTTATACTGGTGAAAGACTGCATCTTAAAGACATACTTAAACGAATAAACTATTTCTACTGTGTATGAAATAGCATGCATCTTATGTATATAAGTGATTTTTCTTAAAGCCTTTACAATTCAAACCACAAGCAGAGTAAGCCAATGCAGTATACATACACATCAGATATGAATGTTGCACACTGATTTTGGATTTGAAAAAACATAATATACGTATATGGAAATACAACTGTGCTTAGCACCACTTAGCTTTTTTTTTTCCCATAGCATGAAGCAGCATCTCAGAAGAGACAAACAATGTTAAAAACTTTAATTGTCTCATGTCCAGAATTTCTTTTCTACTCCCAAATATAATTAACGTTTCATTATTTCCAAGAGTTCAAGGCCTGGCATAATGGTTAAGTGCATCTTCTTTGATGTTGCAGTAGCTATGGTAACTATTCTTTTCACACTGCACAATTAACATTCATTTAAAACCCACCTGAAATAAGCAGTCATATTCTACTTTCTTTCAAAGTATGACCTTCAATACTCCCTGCCTTTTCTTCATTTTTTGCTTTCATAAATGAACATACATTGAACACATAAGAGTTCTTTCTGAATCCAATATTGGAATTTTTTAACCCACTAATTCAAAGTGTTTATTGCTTAACAAAAAATGATACCTCCAAAGCAAAATTACTATATCTGGAAAAATGCACTGCCCTTATGATGCATACCATATTATAAAGTTCAATCATTTCCCTGAAAATAGATAGAAGAGTAACATATTCTTTTGGGATTAAGAAAGGACATATGACTCAGTAAATCTATCCATCTGTGAAACACTCAAATGTAAGAAAAACGTGAATAATGAGAAAACTAGTTAACTGGGTTGTTAAACTTCAACATTCAGAACACAATATCCTATTAAATATATTGCAAAGATTAACAAGTGAATTTTAGTGCTAGAATTTTTTTGTTTTAGTACATTTTATTCTATAGAATTTAATGATAGTGAGGAAATATCAAATTATTTAGAAACTAACAATAAAGCCTGTTTTCTTTTATGTTTTGGTATCACCCTTTAAGAAAGAAAGGTTTTCTGAAAAGGGAACTGACCTGCACTGGAACACCAGCGGATGTGGGTGGATAGTGTGCTGGAGCATGAAGCTTTGAATAGGCTGAATACATAGGTGCTTCATTCATCAATTTGTTATAGAGTTCCAAGGCTTCCAGAACTTTCACATTCAATTCAGATAATTCTGAATGTTTTCTAATTAAAAACATACAATTTATTCAAAACTCAGTTACTTATACCACTGGGAATTTTGCAACAGTCTAACTAAGAAGCTCTTTAAGCAAAGTCTTAACGAAATAGGATTAAAAAAAAAAAAGATTTTGTATAGGGTTGCCAGATGGTTTCAACAAAAATACTGGACACACCTGACATTACATTACAATCTACATTAAATCTTATTTAGAAAATACAGGACATTTATATTTTCTCAATTTGTTTCCTGAACAGAAAGCCCAAATACTGGACTGTCCGGTTCAAAACCAGACACCTGGCAACTCTAACTTTGTATTTTTAAGATGTTCAGATCCATTCCAGTTATCATACTGATCTGACTTGGAAAAGTGGGTAAGTAAAGAGGTTGAGGATCCTTCTTACATTCAAATTGAAAAAAAACCTAACTATCTTTATGTCAGTCTCTCTTTGCTTTCTTCTTTTTTTATCCAGTTATCATAAAGTCTACTCAAAGATCTAGGAGAAATTACTGCATCTGAGTATATTCCCTTATTTATGATAGTGTGCAGCATAATGAAAGTTAGGCTCATACAACTGTAAATATAGGGCTACTCACATCATTGAAAAATTGTAATTTTACTCTGTCACAAATTAAAAGCTCTTTGGAGGTAGGAACTGTATTTTATTTATTTATACAGTACTCAAATACAACAGGGCCTAGATCTTTTTCGGGGCTAGCCCGTACTAAAATGAAAATCAAAGTAAAAATTAACAAGTTACAAATAAAGAATGTCAATTTTCTATTTTAAGTAGGAGAATAAGAGTAAAGATATAGTTAAATATGGTAACTGTGTCCAACCAAAAATCCTGAAAAATGAAGGTGATGCATATGTAACAGTTGTACTCCGTGTTTGAAAACACAAGTAAATGATTATGGCTCACCTATCAATCTCCTCTAGTTTTTCATCTATCATAGGACCCATCTGTTGACAGATGTCTACGAAGACAAAAGTGTTAATATATCGTACAATAAAAACTTTAAGACTAGTCCTGAATAAAATGTGTTAGTTGAGACCGATTATAATCTTTTCATTAATTAATTACTACCAAATCTTTATTTTTGCTCTTAAAGACACCATTTTTCCAAAAGACATGGGGAATAAAGAATTAGTTTGCTATATAACTGCACCTACTGCCCACAAACAGGATTGGAATTCCACCAGATTTCTCAAATAATCCTCTCAAAACTGCTTCATCTACATCTAATGAAAGTCAATTACTAGAGCTAAATACACCAGAATGCCACCACTGAGACTGCATATTGCATGACTTTTAGGAATTCATGCAGTGACACCACAGATTTAAAAGTCACTATAGATCATGTAAAGAAAAGGGATTAAATGTACAGTACATCTTTCATCTAATCTCTAAGGGTATGTTTACACAACAGGGCTAAAGCCGAAATAAGCTACGCAACTTCAGCTATGTTGACTGCATATCTTAAGTCGAAATAGCTTATTTTGGGTTTTGGCGCTGTCTACACAGCAGGAAGTCCAAGGTAAACCACTCTTTCTCCGATTTTCCTTACTCCTCGTAAAATGAGGGTTGCAGGAATTGGAGTGAGAAGTCCTCCAGCTCGCCATTATGTAGAAATAACTGCTTGCAGTGTAGATGCATACTGTGTTATTTTGGAATAACATGAGTTATTCTGAAATAACACTGCTGTGTAGACGTACCCTAAGAGTATACTAACCAATAAGGAAGATATATTTAATAAGACAAAAAATATAACATAAGAATGGCCATACTGGATCAGACCAAAGGTCCATTTAGCCTAGTATCCTGTCTTCCAACAATGGCCAATGCCAGATGCCTCCAGACGGAGTGAAGAGAAATAGGTAATCATCAAGTGATCCTGTCATCCATTTCCAGCCCCGGACAAACAGGGGCTATTGCCACTATGTAAAGCCATGGTATGCCTACCCCTTAAATAGTGTATGTAGTTTTGGTCACTCCATCTCTAAAAAGATACTAGAATTGTAAATGGTTCAGAGAAAGCTAATACAAATTATTAGGGCTACAGAACCGTTTCCATACCAGGTGAAGTTAAAAAGACTGAGACTGTTCAGATTAAGGGAGAGAGACAACCAAAGGGGGATATGACAGAAGACAATAAAACCATGAATAGTGTGAAGAAAGTGAATAAGGGTGATATTTCCCCTTTCACATAACATATGAACCAGGGCTCACACCATTAAATGAATGGGCAGCAGGTTTAACACAAAAATAAGGAACTTTGTCTCACAATGCACCGTCAACCCGTGGAACTTGTCACCAGGATGGTGTTTAGGCCAAAAGTATAACTGTGTTCTAAAAGAATTAAGATATGTTCACAGAAGATAAGCCCACCCGTGGTTGTTAACCAAGATGGTCAGGGACATAATCCTATGCTCTGGGGTGTCCCTAAACCTGTGACTGCCAGATGCTAGGACTGGATGACAGGGGACAGACCCCTTAATGAACCTCTTTATGTTAACTCCCTCTGAAGCATCTGGCACGGGCTACTGTTGGAAGACCGGATACTGAGCTAGAAAGACCACTGGTGTGACCCAATATGGCCATTCAGGTGTGCTTTTTATAGTGATATAGTATTTTAACACATATATCCCACTACAGTTCACCCAGTGTCAAGAAATAGATTAGGTTGATTATAAGCTTTTCCCACCCTCTCAGCAATAATTTATTTAAGACCAGAAATGGCAACAATTTTTTCTTTGTAGGATGCACAACACAGATAATTGGTTTAGTTTTTGAAAATGTGTTCATATAAGAGACTCAAGGGAAAGCTCTTGACAGACAGCAAAAACATTTTCATATAGCATCACAATATTTAAGAATATCAAATGCTATTACCCATTCCTTTACCCAGAGGAAAAAAGTGACAGGGTAAATAGCTCCATCTTATAGCAACATCTCTCTGAATGATCCATGCTATCAGTGGCCTAACATTCAGAGGTTGAGCAAGTAATTTACACAACATAGAACAAGAACTGCGTTTAAGTAACAACTTTAGTTTTTAGTCCCAATGATACACCAGTGTAACACTCAAGACCTATGCCCAACATATCTACTGTAGCCTTCTATCAGTGCAGACCAACAGCACTTTAAACATTAAAAGCTCAGACATTTAATAAGAATACCTTCCAAGTCTAGAAGATCTGGAGAATCAGGCTTTGCATCTGTAGGATCTATGCTCTGAAGCACCTGCAGTGTTCTATCCATTTTATCCTGAATGACAGATAAAATATCTTTAAAATATAGTTATATCTGAAACACAGCAGAGTTGTCTAATATTCACGTGAAAATGGAAAACTGCCTTTTTACACAGATCTAAGCAAGATTTTTCTCCATTATCTTTTTTCCACAGAAAGATGTAGTGAGAGTAGAGACGTTACCCCAGCATGCCTGTTTCAGTCAGGTGTGGTGATGCAGCTGGACTTTACTTCCCTTTGGTTGTAAGCAAGTGCGGACTGAGGTGTTTTTAACTGAAGAACACCACTTTCCAGGAGTCTCATTATTCATGAGTAGTCAGAAACATAAGACAGTCCTTACTCAGATGCACCTGGGGACATTCATCAACTTGGGCTTAGTCCTACTACTTTTTCTTTCAGAAGATACTTTTTTCCTGTGCTCAGAAACAGTCTCTTTTTGGAAACTCTCCCACTTATTTCTATAGATTGCTTTCCTGCCCTTCTTTAACGAGGAGTTCCCTGCTCTGCTTATGGAACTGGGATGTATTAGTCATTCACTCACTATTTAAACACTATTTAAACCTCTCTTCTCTGGAGTTGACTTTTGGGTTAGCCTGCTCACAGCCTTTACCTGCTTCCCCTTCAGGCAGCCACTTTTTGTTAAGTAACCTTTAGGGTGCTAAGCATTAAAGCCACCCCTTCCCTGCTGATCTCTCCTAGGAGGCAGGCAGTCTTTATGCTGTCCTCCTTCTCTCAGCTCACTCCCAATGGAATGGTGAGAAAGAAGAGCCTTGCCCCCACTTCTCTGCAAGGCTCCTGGCCACAGACCCTTAAAGGTACAATGACAGGATTTCCTCTCCAGCACCAATCCTCTTTAGGTCCTTATTTCTACTGCTCTCAAACCTTAGGACTATTACTGTCCCTAAGGTGCAGATTACCCCCCATCGCATATGTAAAGACTAATATAGCCATAAAACTTTATATATTTAATACCATATTTTGTATTCATAAAAATGTCTGCTTCCAGAATGAGACATTAAAAGGTTCTAGCCAACTCCAGAGGCTAGATTGGCAATGCTCAAAGTGTACTGAAGAGCCAAGCAGACACATGCCAATCCTTCACACATCCTCTATACTTGTCAAAAATTCATGTGTTCTAGAATGCTATAACCAATGCTCTCCCAAAACAGATATTTTAAGAAAATGGAAATCTGCAACCCCTCCCTTACACGCAGACTGGCTGACTGAGCTCTCTACTACTGCATCAATGGAAAAAGTGACTGTAATAGAAGTGTGGGGAAAGAAGAAAGTACCTATTTACACATGAAACTATTGCATACCTTTGCAGTTTAGTAGATATTAGTTCGATACTTGTAGATTACATTCTCACTTATTTATCTATTTATTCACTTTAATTATTAATGTCCTACATAACCTTTACAGTTATAGGTGTCTATTCTTCCCCACTCCTCTGATACTGAAGTGAAAACTGAACTCTATTATTTGTATGCTATTCCCACTTTGTGTATATATTTTGATATATTTTGTTTTATATATACAAAGTTTGTAAAATCATCATTGCATACCTCATCTATATAAACAGGTTCAGGTTCTGCTTTCTTAATTTCTTCTGTAGTTTCTTCAGTAACAGGGGGTTTATCCACTGTAGCTAAGAAAACATGAGTGTCAGTTCCTCCTCTTCATCTTTGTTACTATACTATCCTAGAAACATATCCTCCTATTCTCAACAAATATATAACACTGCATAGCTTTTTAAACTATTTTCTTAGTCCCAAGTACAATTCTTTGATATCAAATCTTTAAAGTCAAATAACTTAATAATATATGGAGATACACCATCTCATAGAGCTGGAAGGGACCTTGAGAGATCATTAAGTCCAGTCCCCTTCCCTCACAGCACGACCAAGTACCATCCCTGACAGATTTGCCCCAAGCCCCTAAATAGCCCCCTCAAGGACTGAACTCACAACCCTAGGTTTAGCAGGTCAATGCTCAAACCACTGAGCTATCCCTCTCCCATCTGGGAGAAAATGGCTCCCAGAAAGTAATGCTCTTAGATCTTTGATAAGGGGAGAAAATGTTGCATTACAGCATAATAAACGCAACATTGATCAGTCTTGTGAACAGGATAGGGTCTTCTTGGAATGTAGGCATTGTCCCTAAAAAAAAAAGTATCCAGAGCTGTGAATCAGAATCTAGCAAGGGTGTCTATTTAACCTGCACCAATGTCTAAAACATCACTGACAACATATGTTTTATATCATGACATTTTAAGATGACCACGTAAATGTTTAGAATTACTTAAAGAAATGAAGTGGGTGAGGTAATACTCTTTATTCGACCAACTTCTTTTGGTGAGAGAGAGACAAACTAGCTCTTCCTTAGGATTGTCTCTTTCACCAACAGAAGTTGTTCCAATAAAGGGTACTACTTCACCTACCTTGTCTCTCTAATATCCTGAAACCAACATTATTTTTTTCTTCCTCCCCTCCATTTTTTTCCTCTTATCTCTCCTCTCCCACCCCCCATCCCCCGCCCCACCCCTCCTTCCCTTATTTATTCTTGGATCTGGACTTTCACCACTCCAGTCATCTGAAGAAGTGGGTTGTGCCCACAAAAGCTCATGATACCATCTACATGTTTTGTTAGTCTTTAAGGTGCTACTAAACTATTTGTTGTTTTTTGAATCTTTCCTGTTACAGACTAACTCGGCTACCCCTCTGAAGCTATTGTATACACATAATTATTTCTGCCATTACTGGTATAAATCAAACTGCTAATTTTTACCTTAAACTGAGATAGACTTGAACATGAATATAATCAATGTTAAATTCATGTCTAATGGCAAACTGAGTCCAAACTATATTCCAGCAGCATTTTAGGTGATAACTTATTGAATTCAAATATCCTTTGTTCTTCCTGAAAGACCAGAGTACATGAAACAACAGAACTAGCTTTCTGTAACAGGAAAGTACAGTGATTTAGCAAAAGGGAGACAAAAAACCAGGGTTGAAAGGCCTGGTTCAATTGAAGCCAAAGGCAAAATTCCCACCAACTTGAACAGGGTCAGGATTCCACTCTGGATTCCTTCCTGGTGTACTAGATGAGCTGTACAAGTCACTGTACACAGATTAAATGGAAGTTGAGATGAGCCTTTCACTTGCCCATCTTTTTAAAGCTTTAGGTGGTAGCTTTCAATATGTAATTTACCTGTCTCAGGTTCTTCATTTAAGTTAGAGGATACAAAGTTAGATGGGAACAGTCCTACTCCTCTCTGATTTTCACCTTTCCACCAGTTAGCATCACTGAAATTAAAATGTTTCATTAGGAAATGTTCATATGATTAAAAAAGACTTACAAAGTGATTTTAAATAGCTGGGTGGGGTTTTCTGATTCCATCATTCTATCTGTCAGGGTATGTCTACACTACCCTCCTAGTTCGAACTAGGAGGGTAATGTAGGCATACCGCACTTGCAAATGAAGCCCGGGATTTGAATTTCCCGGGCTTCATTTGCATAAGCGGGGAGCCGCCGTTTTTAAATCCCTGCTCGTTCGAACCCCGTGCCGCGTGGCTACATGCGGCACGGGGTTCGAACGAGCAGGGATTTAAAAATGGCGGCGCCCAGTTTATGCAAATGAAACCCGGGAAATTGAAATCCCGGGCTTCATTTGCAAGTGCGGTATGCCTACATTACCCCGCTAGTTCGAACTAGCGGGGTAGTGTAGACATACCCCTCGGCTCCCCGCTTATGCAAATGAAGCCCGGGAAATTCAAATCCCGGGCTTCATTTGCAAGTGCGGTATGCCTACATTACCCCGCTAGTTCGAACTAACGGGGTAGCGTAGACATACCCTCAGTTACTAAGAAGATAACACAGCTGCTATTAATAGAGGGCTTTATCCCTAACCCTCTCCTCCGGCAGACTTTTATCAAGTTCAGTGATTACACTGCCCAAATAAAGGCTGTGTGTCCACTGCAGCAAACTACTGAGTGCCTTCTGAAAAGCATATAGCTTCCCCCGACTGGCATAGTAGTCAAGGGCTCAGAACAACTTGCACGATCAGGCTTACAGCACCTGCCGTATTCTGTGCTATTCCACACTCCAACTAAAGAACTGAAGTTTACTTTCTTCAATTTTGATCATTTGACAGAACTGTCTCAATACAGCCTATTTCACCCAGTCACAGAGAAGAAGAAAAGCATTTTTACAGACAGGAAAACTGTAGTAGTAACACAGTGAAAATCATCAGGATCATTCATGGGGAGATGTAGTCCTTAAAACTTTTTTTAAAACTCAATTACTAATTTAACTACATTTGGAGTTGACAGTGTCCCACTAACTTAACCTAAAAGTTGTACAAAACTACACAAATAGGGAAAAACAAAGACATAATTGCAGTTTCTCCTCTAATGCTTAATAGGGGTAAAGGAGAAACAGTAGTAAATCACTGTTTGCTAGATAAGGACAACCAGGGCAGAGAATGACGGGTCTTTTTTTCCAGCTGAAGTCAAGGCAACAGTGGCAGCAACAACAACAGTGAAGAGTAAAATTAAAAATTAGAGAAGTCTATGACTGTCATTAAAAGTATATCCATAATTTGACTGTAAAGCATGTTGATGATTTAAAAGAATAGCATAACTGTTAAATACTGTCCCAATTATTTCGTACCTGAACAAATATGGACACAGTCAGTAATCAGGGTTTTCACCATATTTAGATAGAGCTTGACTTTATTATATATCATCATTACTGGAGATCCAGAGTGCTTTATGTCAGGGTCAAAAGCAAAAATCCTTGACTCAAAGTACTTATAAACTAAAGACAGGACAGATGTAAACTGAAGGCAAATGAAATGCAGATTTTAATAAAGGGCTCTGTTGACTTCAACAGAAAACACATACAGAAGCAAGCTGCAAGTAATTGGAAGGAAAACGAGAGATGGTTAGAAATTATTAATTGGAAAGCTGTTCCAAATGTAAAGAACGATGTAAAAGAAGGCAGTATCAGGAGTTGTAGAAAGACAAAGATAACAGTAAGGAGACAGCTAATAAAGATTGTTGACAGCCAACAATAACAACACCTTCATCTGAACACACATTACCTGTCATCCAGAACAATAATAACTTCTCCACTTTTAAAGGTGAGCTCATTGTCTTCAACAGCTTCAAAGTCATACAGGGCTCGCACCTTCCTTAAGACCTTCTGATTGTTCTGTTGAATTTCTGCAGATGGGTATAAGGATTTAGTTTCCGTTTGCTGCTGTTTCTGCTCTTGAAGAGATAATTCAATAGCTACGGTTTGGAATATAAAAAAAGTAAGTTTGTATATTTTATTGTTTATGTATAAATAATTTTAGTTTCTTAAAGATAAAAAAGTGAAAGACCAATTTCATATTCTATATTCTAAATGAAGTACACGATATCTTCCTTCTGATTAGAAGTATTTTGAATTCAAGTTACTTATTCTTAAACTTCTAACTTGTCTCAATTCCAATAAGTTTAATTGACCCTGCAACTTGAAAACCCAAAAGAAGCTAGCTGTGACCAAGTTCTGAAATATAAAAGCAAACATGTTAATTACAATAGGAATTACCAGCTCACTGGTAAGATACAGCTTTTGTGCTAAGACAGTGATGTTACTGATAATACCAGAAATACTGCATACAAATTCTTTGCTGTGTCACATGAGTAAAGATATCTGCATTCAACAGGACAGCATAAAGAATAAAAACATTTTAAAACATCTATATTTTAGATTGCACAGGTTAGAGCAAGAGGGTAGACTGGGGCAGAATGGAAGAGATTAACAGTTCCACAAAGAGGAACAGCTGCCGTACAAACAGCCCTTCCTAGACCCATGCCAGTGAACTGCAGATGTGTGGAATACCTCTTATCCACCACCACCTCACAAGTTTTTTTAAAAATAGCATTATTACTCTCTTCTGGCCTCCCACACCATTATCACTTTCCATTCTGCAGAACAGTTTTCTCTAGGTACAGCATTCTTTTTTAGTGAAAAACGTATGCACGTTAACAAAATGTTTCAGAGCACAAGTATAGAACACTTATAAGTGTTACATATCTAACCAAAGGCTGTGACTAATAATTTACCTTTAGCAATATCTTCATCTTCTTTGTTTTTGCTTGATGATGCATCATTCTTGGCAGCACTTGTGAGAGTCTGAAAATGTATTGACAACATGAATATAGTTATGTGTCAAGCAGAAAAGAAACCAAAACTGTTACTTGCCTTCGTAACTGTTGTTCTTTGAGAGGTGTTGCTCATGTCCATTCCATGTAGGTGCATACGCTACGTGAACGTGTCATCAAAAGTTTTTCTCTTAGCAGTACCTGTTGGGCCAGCAGAGGAGTCCCCTGTAGTAGCACCGGTATATCTGCTAAGACATACCCCCTGCTGGCTCTCCACCCCCTCGGCTCCTTCTTACCGGACTACTCTGAAAAAGGAGAGGCAGGGGGGATTTGGAATGGACATGAGCAACACATCTCGAAGAACAACAGTTACAAAGGTAAGTAACCGTTTTTTCTTCATTGAGTGATTGCTCATATGCATGCCATGTAGGTGACTCCAAAGCAGAAATCCCAGGAGGCAGGTTCAGAGTTCTAACCATCTACTGATTGAAGGACAGTCCTACCCAGAGCTGCATTCTCCCTAGCCTGGTGAGCCAGTGCATAGTGATTGGCAAAAGTATGGACAGAAGACCACGTGGCGGCCCTACAGATGTCCAGTATAGGGACCTGAGCCACGAAGGCAGTAGAGGAAGCCTGTGCCCTAGTGGAGTGGGCTGTAAGGGGAGGGGCTGGCACCCCAGCCAGGCTATAGAACTCCTTGATATAGCATATGATCCATGAGGAGATCTTCTGCATGGAGACCAGCTGCCCCTTGGGCAGTTGTGCGATTGCCACAAACAGCTGTGGGGACTTATGGAAGGGCTTTGTTCTTTCCCAATAAAAGGCTAAAGCTCTCCTAACATTCAGAGTGTATAAAGCCTGTTCCCTTGCCAGAGGCATGGGGCCTGAGGTAAAAAACGGGGAGAAAAACATCCTGAGAGACATGGAGGTGAGACAACACCTTCCTGCCGAAGGTGGGATGAGGGCGTAACCTAACTTTATCCTTGAAGAAAACCGTATAAGGGGGGTCCGAGGTGAGAGCCCTCAGTTCAGACACAAGCCTGGCCGATGTAATAGCCACAATAAAAACACCTTCCAGGAAAGGTATAGCACTGAGCACGCCACTGGGTGCTCAAAGGGAGGCCCCATGAGTTTGGACAGGATCAGGCTGAGCTCCCACAGAGGGACAGGCTGACAGACTTGCAGATAAAGCCTGTCCAACCCCTTCAAAAACCTGTGTACCACAGAGTCCGCAAAGAGTGTCTTGCCAGTGGGGACAGAGTTCAGGGAGTGAGGATGAGAATGGGGACAGAGTTCCGTAGCTGGGGACAGGGGAGTAGGGTCTGGGGAGTGGGGACAGGGTGCCAGTAGCAGCAGAGAGTCCCCTGCATCTGCCTCCTCCCAGGATTCTCTCCTTCCCAGAGGGAAGCCAGCACATGCCTCCTCTCCCCCCCACGGGGCAGGGAACCCCCTCGCGTGCCTGTCCCGGGGCCCACCC